ACACACACACACATACATACATACATACACACACATACACACACACACACACACACACACACACACACACACACTAACACACTAACACAACCCAACGCTCAAACACAATCTCATTTTCCTAGTCCATTCCTATAATATACTTGACAACACACATTAATTTACGGCATTAAGTTTCAGACTTGACATAAGCTAATTTTAGATCGTGTTTCATTGCTCGATGGACAAACGAGAAACAAGTCAACTTGTTAAAATTCAATTTTGTGAAACAGCAAATCTTTTCTTTGTTGTTTTTAAAAAAAATGAAGTTAAGGTACTGTTCATCTAAAACCGCAACAACGTTCGATATTGTTACCTGAGAAAGATATTTTAAATTCAACATGAGAGAAATCGAGCCATCGACAGGCTTCATGGGTGTCCAACGTTTACAGAAAAACTGACGTTAGTTGTTATATTCCCCATTGTCAAACGTATCTTTAAATGGAAATGATGGTAAAAGGAAAATTTTATCTACTCATTCAGAACTTACCTGACCTATTCCATACATCTGTGTTTTTCACTCTCTGCGATACAACCACATTTAAGTAGCTGTCTCGTCATACGCAAAAGACGATTTTTAAAATTTGAATTTGGGGGAGAAATTTGTTTCTTCTGAAATTGATATAGATCTAGCTAGCTTTCTCTGCTTGATTACAAATATTTTGAACTAGTGACTTTTTAGAAACGGAACATTCTGCAGGTTGACCTACTGACCTACTGTAGTGTCAAACGACACAGACGACGATTTTAAGAATGTGAGGGCGAAATTTACTTTTGGAAAGCTGAGTCGATAATTATAGATTTCGCAGCATTTTCTAAATCACAAATGACATCCTTGAACCAGTCACCCTCGAATATTGGATCGTTCTACAGGGCCGTCTATAATTGACCTACTGACTGATAATGATACGATTGATAATAATATAGTTCTATAGAGTTAACCTTTCCGTTAGTGAGCGAAACCTTCAATTAGCAATTTCTCCAACTCACCCAGAATTGACTTAAAGCAAGCGATGCCTTATCATGTCAGTTTTTGTAGTACAGTAGGCTAGAGTTTTGATTTACGTGTGAAAGGTTGAAGTTCCAGCCAAAGTAGGGGTAATTTTGTGGACGTTTAATGCCTTACTCAGCACAAATAGATTATTCTAAAGGGGCCCTGTATTACGGGGGTTTTCTTTCTTTATTATTACACGTTAGCTTGTTTGTTGTTGTTGCTTTTATGGGGAGGGGAATTTATTTATTCATTTATTTATTTAGTTAGTTATTTATTAATTATTGTTTTATATCCTAGGGGTGGGATTCCATTTTCCTTGGACTACAATCTTGCGTTGGCAAATTGACGCTAGAAAGCTAGACAAACAAAAGAAAATACAAGTTCAGAGAAAGAAGACCAGGGATATAATTGCTATCTTAAAATTACAAACTTCTTTCTGATATTTTTCTCCCTTTTAATTAAGCTACTAAAATCACGAGATCAGAAACCAAATGCTCTATCTACTCTGTCAAAATCGTTAAGAATATTTGACAGATTCGTTATCGAGTTATTCAAAGAATTGCTTTCGTAAAAGCTAGAATTATTGTAATACTCAAAATTACTGGTGTCAAATTTCTCAAAACTAGGTACTGAGCAGATAGAACTTTGTAATTTTAAGGTAGCTAAGTGGCGTATAAGTGGCACCCCGCCGATGGAGTATGTTGGCCACACGGTGGTTTGCTTGTCACCCCAAGGCCTGATCTGAACAGAAGAAAAAAACGAAACAAACCCTGCACTAACTATTATAAATTATCACAGGGCGAGAAATGTTTAACGAGAAAAGATTTTCAACGGCAGTAAATTCTACTCTTCTCCCCCCCCCCCCCCCCCCCCTCTCTCTCTCTCTCTCTCTCTCTCTCTCTCTCTCTCTCTCTCTCTCTCTCTCTCTCTCTCCCCCCCTTTATTCCGCCCCTTCCAAAATTTAATCAAGCATAATAATTTTATCATAATAACCTACTGCTCGACCGCTGGAGGGGCGTACGGTTTACTTGACTTCGGCGAGGGCCACATTGGTTCGAATCTTTCTCGAAACATTCTTAATTAAAACTGGGTTGTATAGAGAAATGTAAATCGAACTCAGATCTTCTATTTGGGACCGCGAAGCACCTATCCCCTACAGCACGACCATGGTGTGTGTGTGTGTGTGTGTGTGTGTGTGTGTGTGTATGTGT